CCCATAGTACCACATAGGACTGTTAAAGAAGAAACATAAGCTCCTACTTTCTCCTAGAAATAAGAACAGCAACATAAGAGTCCTATGGAATATTTTATTTATCCCATCTAAAGATGAGAAAAAAGGCTTGAGAGAAGATCTAAGATGAGAACTTTGGGAGTTTCTGTAAATTTGAATGATTCAGAAATATCCTGAGCTGGTCCTTTTTCCTGTGGCTCTGTGCTTCACCTTTATAGAATCATAGAATCGTTAGGGTTGGAAAGGACCTTAAGATCATCTAGTTCCAACCCCGCTGCTGTGGGCACGGACACCTTATGCTAAATCACATCACCCAAGGCCTCATCCAGCCTGGTCTTGAACACCGCCAGGGATGGAGCATTCACAACCTCCCTGGGCAACCCATTCCAGTGCCTCACCACCCTAATAGGAAAGAATTTCCTTCTTATATCCAACCTAAACTTCCCCTTTAAGTTTTAACCCGTTACCCCTTGTCCTGTCACTACAGTCTCTAATGAAGAGTCCCTCTCCAGCATCCCTATAGGCCCCCTTCAGATACTGGAAGGCTGCTATGAGGTCTCCACGCAGCCTTCTCTTCTCAGGGTGAGCAGCCCCAACTTCCTCAGCCTGTCTTCATGCAGGAGGTGCTCCAGTCCCCTGATCATCCTCGTGGTCCTTCTCTGGACTTGTTCCAACAGTTCCATGTCCTTTTTATGTTGAGGACACCAGAACTGCACACAATACTCCAAGTGAGGTCTCACGAGAGCAGAGTAGAGGGGTAGGATCACCTCCTTCGACCTGCTGGTCACACTCCTTTTGATGCAGCCCAGGATACAGTTGGCTTTCTGGGCTGCAAGCGCACACTGAAGCTGGCTCATGTTCAGTTTCTCATCGACCAACACCCCCAAGTCCTTCTCCGCAGGGCTGCTCTGAATCTCCTCTCTGCCCAACCTGTAGCTGTGCCTGGGATTGCTCTGACCCAGGTGTAGGACCTTGCACTTGTCATGGTTAAACTTCATCAGGTTGGCATCAGCCCACCTCACAAGCATGTCAAGGTCCCTCTGGATGGCATTCCTTCCCTCCAGTGTATCAACTGAACCACACAGCTTGGTGTCACCGGCAAACTTGCTGAGGGCGCACTCAATCCCACTGTCCATGTCAGCGACAAAGATGTTGAGCAAGACTGGTCCCAACACCGATCCCTGAGGGACACCACTCGTTACTGGTCTTCAGCTGGACATTGAGCCATTGACCACAACTCTTTGCTGAACAAGTTTTGGTTTGTTGTGGAGGAGAAAAACACCAGGAAAAAGGAGGGAGGCGTTATATCTCTGCTGGTTTCTTACATCTCACTGTCTTCATGCAGACTAGTACTACTGCTTTCCTCAGTTCCATGCTTTTCATAGTCAATATTATGTCTTTTGATCATTTCCTGACCCTGTGTTTTACCTACACTGAGTGAATCAAATGGAAGGCCATGGTGTAAAACAATATAAGCTGAACCATGTATGTACTGAGAAATACAAATGAACCAAAACACAGTTCTATTTCAAATGTTGAAGTGAATTTCCATGACAGTGACTTATAAATGTGGAACAGTCTCTGGAATGAAGCAGTACAACTTACGATGTTAAAAGTCAAGGTAAGAAATTCTTCCTAAGGATGGGGAGGAGACTTTTGGAAATATGAAAAAAAATGAAAACAACTTCAATTAAGCTAATCTAAAACAGTGTGCATCTCTGTGGAGACAGTTTCTTTGCAATTCAACAATGGCTCAAGCTTTTTCTATTAAAAAAAATTTAAACCATTTCAGTCAGCCTCAAACAAAAATTTAGAATATCCTTACACAATTCTGCATCATTTTAATGAACTTTTTTAGTCGAAATTTAAGTTACAAGGTCCTACAGCATCCTGGAGACATGGTAGAAACATGGATGGTTCAGCATTCAGAAAATGTCTCAGTTACATCATTTACATTGCTTGCAAAAAATACATTTGTGTATTTGGGGCATCACAAGCCAAATTCTCAAGTATACATAGCTGAGCTGGAGTCTGAAACCTAAAGCAATCCTTTGTCAAACTGATGTACATGTTCTATGAAAATTATGCTGGCATCTTTTAGTATCTACACATTTCTGGATAAGCACTTCCCAAGTGCCCATAGTGTTTCAAAAGAAGCTAGGAATAGACTTGATTCTTGGCATTTCAGCTTAACTATTTGGAAATAGGATTTGCATATTTTCCTCTGTTTTTTTCTTTCTTCTATCTGGTATCGCAAGCAATTCCCTTTCTTTCTCTTTTTTCCTTTCTTTAACTCTTTGTTTCTTCTTCAACTCTTTGTTTCTTCTTCACTTTCTAACAAAAATCTCTGCCACTGACGCTGTGCACTGAAATAAAGAGGTGGCTTGCTATTTGTTATTGTGGTTTAAGGTTAGATAATCTTCTGCAGGCAATTTTACTCTAGGTGACATGTACCAAAAAAGGTAATCTTTGCAATGTATTGTGAATGGCTAATTATTTTTTTGGAACATGATGAGTTAGTGAAAAGATAGGGACTGCTAAAAAGACAGTACTGCTTATCAAATCTTTGTGGCATTTTTATTACTTTCCAGGTGATTTTCTGTTGACAAATTCCACTTCCCAGCAAATGATAGCTGCTAGTCTCTGTGGACTGTGCATATGTTTCTTCACATACAAAAGTGTTGGTGCAGGGGGTTGAAGCTCCCATTTGTGAGAGGGAAGAGGGGATTTCTTTCTTGACTAATCATTTATTTTTGTGTGTCTTTTGGTTTAGCTTGGAAATAGTCACTGTTATCCAACTGAGTTAACTGTGACTTCTCACTGTCACTTCCTACCGTTACTCAATTTTGTGATTCCTTTGAAATATCTTTTGTTCTTGAGCCTGTGCTGGTTTTGCTGCAGAACACCAACAGTTTTCAACGGATTTTTTTAACTGAAGATGGAGAACTAAAACTGCCCTGTGTAGTAATTAGTTGTCTTAATTAGAAGTGTACTGGTGATAGCGTTTTTAATTAGAAGTGTACTATATTCACCAGTTACATTTTTTTGAATGTTTAAAAAAGACTTACAGAGCAATAGCAGTGAGGGTAACAATAAAGAAGGGCAGATATATCATCTTTCTACACTGCACAAACTGTCATAAGCTGTCCAAAGAGTCCTTACATAGAAAAATAAACCACTGTAGAGGAAGGATTAAATTAATTTCACTTAAAATTTGCCATCTTTGACATGACCTAGGTTGAATGTGTCATTTGGACTCAGTGGTCAATAAACAGTGAGAGGACCTGAGGCCTGGCTTGGGATGGAATGAGTTGCTGCGGAAACAGTCTAGACTAAGAGCTGCATGGTTAACCTCATAGAAGACAAAAAGCACCTGTCAGATTGAAAAGAAAATTTACCTTTGAGAAGCTGTATTGAAATCCCATGTTCTGGAGATTTCTTCTTCCCCCTCTGAAGTATATGTAGAAATCACAGACACATAGTTAAGTCCAAAGTGACACAGCTGACCACAATCACCATCATGCTATATAAGTGTTTTTCTGAAATTCTGTGTTATGATACTGAGACCTTAAACTACTTTAGTTTGTTTATAACAGCTTAATTTGTCTGTATTCATAGAATCATAGAACAGAATCATAGGATACTTAGGGTTGGAAAGGACCTTAAGATCATCTAGTTCCAACCCCCCGCTGCCATGGGCAGGGACACCTCACACTAAACCAGGCTACCCAAGGCTCTGTCCATCCTGGCCTTGAACACTGCCAGGGATGGAGCATTCACAACTTCCTTGAGCAACCTATTCCAGTGCCTCACCATCCTAACAGTAAAGAACTTCTTCCTTATATCCAAGCTAAACTTCCCCTGTTTAAGTTTTAACCCATTACCCCTTGTCCTGTCACTACAGTCCCTAATGAACAGTCCCTCCCCAGCATCCCTATAGGCCCCTTTCAGATACTGGAAGGCTGCTATGAGGTCTCCATGCAGGCTTCTCTTCTGGAGGCTGAACAGCCCCAACTTTCTCAGCCTGTCTTCATACGGGAGGTGCTCCAGTCCCCTGATAATCCTCATGACCCTCCTCTGGACTTGTTCCAACAGTTCCATGTCTTTCTTATGTTGAGGACACCAGAACTGCACACAATATTCCAAGCAAGGTCTCACAAGAGCAGAGTAGAGGGGCAGGATCACCTCCTTCGACCTGCTGGTCACGCTTCTTTTGATGCAGCCCAGGACAGGTTGGCTTTCTGGGCTGCAAGCGCACACTGAAGCCAGCTCATGTTCAGTTTCTCATCAACCAACACCCCCCAAGTCCTTCTCCACAGGGCTGCTCTGAATCTCCTCTCTGCCCAACCTGTAGCTGTGCCTGGGATTGCTCGGACCTTGCACTTGTCATGGTTAAACTTCATCAGGTTGGCATCAGCCCACCTCACAAGTGTGTCAAGGTCCCTCTGGATGGCATTCCTTCCCTCCAGTGTATCAACCGAACCACACAGCTTGGTGTCATCGGCAAACTTGCTGAGGGTGCACTCAATCCCACTGTCCATGTCAGCGACAAAGATGTTGAGCAAGACTGGTCCCAACACCGATCCCTGAGGGACACCACTCGTTACTGGTCTCCAGCTGGACATTGAGCCATTGACCACAACTCTTTGCATGCAGCCAAACTCATCTTCTGTTTAGCTTGAAATCCTACGCTGGCAGTTTTATAGGTAGAACTTTACTGACTGCTTTCAAAGAAAAATAATAGCATTTGTTCTCAATTTCTTGTTCAATTTCTTGCTGAATTCTCATAACAGAAAAAAATCCATTTAAAAAAAAAAAGGAGAAAAGTATACATGAAAACATCAGGTAGTTTTAGTAACATTTGCTGTTTGAGGAGGGATGGCAGTGGATTATATGCACTGATTTATGGAGCCTAAGCTGTAGCAAAGGAACTTTGCATCTCAAAATGGCTGCATTTAAATAATGAAAATGCTTTCTTTTAGGAAAGTTCAAGGAAAGGGCCTCAATTCTGCATAAGATCGCCAAAAAGAAATGCCAGGTGGAAGACAGTGAAAGGCAAAATGGAGCTGCTAATCATGGTGAGTGCAGCAGTACACATTTATCAGCTGTTTCTGAGGGCCTTTTTAACTGTTTTATTTTGCTTGAAAATCCTTAGGGATTACTTTCTCCTTCTACTTCATTTATGCTATGTTAGTAAAAACTTCTGATTCCCTGTGCAAAAGAGTATAAAACTTCTGGATGGGATGGGAGCTAAGTGTAAGAATAGAAAGTCAGTTAAGGCTTTTAAAGCCCCCTGGCAGGGCTGGATAGGAAAAAAGCAATGCTAATTTTGGATATGTATTGAAGTTACAGAAATAGACAAAAGTTACTCACAGCTTATATGTGATAATTTAAATAATTTATTGAGCTGCTCTAGGAGAATATGTGTTTCATGTGATACCATCCTTGTCACAAAAGAAACAACCTTTATACTATTTGCTTCCAAAATCAAGCAGTTGGATGGGACAGCCATAATGTTGGCTGTGGGGTTAAGAGACAGCACACATGCACAGAAATAGTTACAAGCTGTCTGGCACTCCACTGTGGCTGTGATCTTGAATTTTTAATTTAGAAGAATCTTAGGACAGGAGTAACGCAACCAGACAGCTGCATTTACTTCTGTACACAAAAGCACACCATGAAGCATGTTGAACTTGGGTTAGGCATTTCATATTGCTATTCCCAATAACTTTATGTTGTCCAAGGGACATATTTACAGAAATAATTCCTGTTTAGAGATTCTGTGATAGTCAGAGAGTAAATTTGATTCTGTGATAGTCAGAGAGTAAATTTGAATAAATTGCCATCAGAAACTAAAGGCCCAATTTTATCCCTTTAATTCCTGTAAAAGTTTAGAACAAGGACTACAGGCTTCTATTTTAAAGATCATCCTCTGTTATTGGATGTTATTAGACTATCTATTTACTCTTTTCCCACATTTTTGCATAAGAAGGAACATGAGTACAGCTTGGAAATTACTAATTGCAGGGGTTACTGTGTTATAAAATTTCTATCTCACTGAATATATCCCCTTGCCTGTAAATGCAACATGCTGCCTTCTTTAATGTCTGGGGAGAATGCTCTGTGTCACTTTTTACCTGAAGGATTAGTTTCAGTGGGTCTAGCATAAAAAAAGAGCATTGAATATTGCAAAGAATGTACATTTTTCTAGGACATGAGCACTAGTAGAATCGTTTCTTTAAATGCAAGCTGACCACTCAAAAGAATTTTATTAAAATGTGTACTGGTCAAATGGAAGACAAAATTTTTGTCTCTTTTAAAAGCAAATATTGGTCCATCATCAGTATTTGATGGTTTACTTATACTCAATATATGACAGCAGTTTCACTAATAGATTTGTTACTTAATATTGTGTTCTGTTTTCCCACTCTTATTTATGGATGATGACACAGAAAAAAGTGCAAAAGTGGAAGTTGCAGTGACACCACCAAGTGATTCAGGACCAGTGCAGAATGGAATCGCACCTAATGTTGAAGAAGAGGTTAATGTCTTTTTTATTCTTTTTATTTTAATATTGGTAAATACATTGCATGCTTGATTGTGCTTTTCACTGACATATACATTTTAATAGCAAGAAGCTGTTAATATGAACTGTTTACAATGTATTTAATCTTCATTTACAACTGAGCCAAATGTACTGTTTGCCATATATAAAAGCTCTTCTCTTCTTCAGCATAAGGCAAAACGGTACTCTCAAATGTATTGTTTTAGGAAACTTATTTTTTCTTATCACATAAGATGTTCACAGCCCTAAATATACCTAATAGAAATTGTTTGATTATCATCACCATTGCACACAACCTGTTCTCTTGAAAGGGTCATGTTGTGCTTCATGAGGTTGTTAAAAGTAGTTGTAAATGACGAGCTGTACACACAAACTTCATCTCCAGCCTGTCTTCCTTCATCTTGAAACAAGTAAGAAAATAAGGTGAATGAGCTACAGTAAACTAGTGTTTGTATGACTGTTCTTGCATATGGTTACATCCTGCAAATGAAGTAATTATACACTTAAATGTATTTATTTTAGGATATACCTTTGGTAGATAGTAACTAACTCATAATGTACCTGTTTTGCACAATGTCTACTGAAACAGCTATACAGTTGAGCTAGCTTCTTTCTTAAACACATTGCAACTCCCATTTTTGTGGACTGCAAAATTTGGTCCTGCCAGGCCCTTTTGGGTTTTTAATTTTTTAAAGAAAATTATTAATACCAGATGCATCCCAGGTGGGCAAACAAGTGGAAAAATGCTGGTGAATTGATTTTGCTAAACATGAGCACTGCTCTTTCAGACTGAGACAGCAAAAGCTGAATAAAGAGAAAGTCTTCTAAAAATAATCCTTGACACAGAAGCTTCAGTAGTTTTGTTTGAACAGTTCTCTTGAGGCCATAGTGACACAAGAATGTACTACAAGAGAAGGCTGAGCAGTGGTCTATACTATAACGTGAGCTTTGCCTTATTAAAAGTGGGATGAGCTGTTGTATTAACATACAGCAAAATCTTGCAAAAAAAAGGCAATAGCCATGTTTTGTTTTGAATCATCCCAGTTTTATAGCAAGTTGATACTTGCTTATTTATAGCTTAAGAAAATTATTAGTCCAAGTCAGAGATCATCAGGAGATGTAAAAGATACGGGTAAATTTTATATCCTGAATGATCAGTAATGCTAATGCTTCCCTCCCAAGGGAAGGAGAGTGTAGGAAGAACATTGAATCACCTTTTCTGTTACTCTAAGTTGTTCAGAGTGACGTGCCACTTAATGATCCTTGTCAGCCCAAGAAAGCGTTACTTTTATGTAAATGAGATGAATAAAATCTATGTAATAAAGACTCTCAGCACTGCACTTCAACACTCAACACTTTTAGGTAAGGAAAGATCAATTTTCAGATCCATTTGGATCCTGTTCTGAGAGTGCAACCTTACCACTGCAGTGAAATAGGTCTTAGACTATTTTTTAACTTAAGGAGGAAAATAACAACAAAAAACAACAAAACAAAACAACCCCTCCGCCCCCTCCACCCCCCCAAAAAAATAAAATATCCAAAGCAGAGTGGCTTTTAGACTTCTGTTATCAAAGGTTAATAAGGGATGACATAGCCTGATGTAACCTAGCAGGGTGTATGTAAATCAGTCCATGGGATGGATGAAAATTTTGATAGACTCTAATAGAGTTTGGTAGCTTAAGAAAGCAACTGGTCTTGCTTTGTAAGATCTTTTTCACTGAGATTGTTCATTGAAAACAATGAAGGAAAAGCAATCACAGCAATGTCCATATGCTGTCATTTTGCATTGCAATGAAGCAGTTTCTAAGCTTGTTCAGAAATCTGCAAGGTTGAGGAGCCTTGTCATTCAAGACAATGTTTTCAATTTCAAGCAACTGCACAGTAAGGAGGAAAGATTATTGCAGGAGTACACTACTCAGCAATGTCTTTCATCTCCCTTTAGACATTTTAAGCTTTCAGTGAAGAAGGGTTTGGAACTTTAATGTTCATTTCAGCAAGTATTGAAAAACTACTGTGCTGTATCAGAGGTGGTATACATTATTTGTCTTTATCCGAATGACAACATGTAGCAAGTAGGGAGGTTTGTAACTGACAGAGGAGTGAGTCTTCACATTCAGCTCCATAAGTCTGAAAGAAAGCAATTTAGGTGTCTGCTCTCACAATAAAAAATATCAATTCCCTAATAACATTTTGAGATGTCCCATGCAGGGTTCCTCCCCAGTAGCCTTTCTAATTTTGACTTTTTCAGTGATAACCTGACAGCTGCTGCTATCTCAGACTGTTTCATTTATTGATATGCTGGAATCTCCGTTGAAATTTAAAAATATATATTGGAAGTTTTGAAAAGTTTCAATAAAAATAGTCTACTCATTCATGTAACAGATAAATAGATCTCTATGATACTTAGGACTCTACTTTGCTGAAAGTTTCTCTGCCTACTCTGTGCTGTACAGGGATCTCTTCCTCAATATATGACCTAGCTTTTTGTGCACAGCTTCTTGATACACTTTACCAGGCTGCAGCATCACTCTGAAGCTAACACTTGGCTATTCGGTTTACTTCTGCTTTGTGTACTGGCCTCCTGGACACAAATAGGATTAATCCTGACTTATAGAAGTGTAGGCAATGACAGAATCATACAGCATTCACATGTCCTTTTTCTTTGACTAAGATTAGATTTTGAGGAAAGTAAATTGGTCATTGCCCTCCCAAGTCTTCTGTATAGCTTTTCCAAACTTCATGTAGACACTACATACCCCTAGGAAATAGTCTGTCTTCAAAGACAATGGTATCACTTCTAAGAGCAGTTGTGTTCAGGGGAGTAATACTGAAGGTACAGTATAGTATGCCAGCCAGTCCTCATCAATAGCCTCTCCTTCTCTTTAAAAACCTAGCTCATTGAAGTTGAGCAACAAGAACAAAGATGTTACAATCAGTCTTGACCTACAAATGCTCTTGAATTTGTATCTTTTTTGCAAACAAGTGTTCTCAGTTTTACACTGAAACATAAACTGTTTCCATTTGATGAGTAGAATTGTCCTGGGTTCAGCAGTAGCAGTCATTTTTTCTCCTTCTTAGTAGCTGGTGCAGTGCTGTGTTTTTGACTCTCAGCCTGAGAACAGTGCTGGTAACACCAATGTTTTTAGTTGCTGCTCAGTAATGTTTACTCTGACCAAGGACTTTGTGAGTCTCGTGCTCTGCCAGGGAGGAGAGGAACCTGGAAGGAAGCAGAGACAGGACAGCTCATCCAGGCTAGCCAAAGAGGTATTCCATACCGCAGCACGTCATGCCCACTGGGGGCAGTTACCTGGAAGGGTTAGATCACTGCTCAGGTTGGGCTGGGTATCGGCAGGTGGTGAGCGGTTGTATTCTCTTCCCTTGTTATTTCCCTTATCATTATTATTATTGGTGGCAGCAGCAGTGGTTTTGTGTTGTACCTTAGTTACTGGACTGTTCTTACCTCAACCCAAGCAGGGGGGAGGAAGCGGGAGGGTGGAGGGAGTGAGCGAGCGGCTGTGTGGTTCTGGGTTGCCGACTGGGCTTAAACCATGACAGTTCTTTTTGGTGCCCAGCGTGAGTGACAAAATTCAATCTGGAAGCTTGAATTTTTGATTATTTTGCCTTACTCCAATGCAAAAGGAAGTGCTCTAGTGTCAGAATTTTGAAAGATAGTATAACATTGCTTCTCTCTGATTTTCCACTTGTATATGGCCAGAGATATGGTTTTGTGACCCATAAGCACTCTTTAGAAAACCTTGTAAAAAAACTTACCATTAGTGCCTTCATGTCCCAGTGATGATCATTTAGAACTGAATTAGAAACACTGTCCTTATTGAGGAACCAAGCTGCAAATATACCTTCTTTGGGAAAAAAAAAATTGTCTTGGGGACTGTGAGCTGGGAAATGGGTGTATTCACATAGCAGGTCAAGTATTCCTAAAACATGTTTGCAGTGAGGATACAGAAGGGGTGAATAGGGATCTAATTCCTTCTCCTCCGCTTCCAGATTCCACTATGGTCTTCCTGTTTTTCCTTCTTGAGAAACAAGCATAGTATATTTGTAGATTTTCTTACTTTTCAGTGATTCAGATTAGGATGCCTGGGTCTGAATCCCTAGACCCAAGTGTTTTAGTAATACGAAGTTCTGTATTGGAGTTAAAATTGCCTGAAAATAAGTACATTAAAAACTTTTGTTCCAATACTACAAAGAGAATGTGCAAAATAAACCCATCTTATTTATAAAACTCCTATTCTTTTGAGAGTATGGTGTGCACCCTTGTAAAAGGAAGGGCTTAGGCTAAGACTGCAGGAAAAAGAGGAGAAAGTAAGTTTTATGTTGTATATTATTTTTCATGTATTTGTAACGTAATTGTATTTTTTAAAAAGTGTGATACTTCAAGTGCTGTGATTTAGTTTTCCTTATACCTTTACTGGTTTCTTAGTTTTGTTTTTTTTTTGTCAGCTTTATATTATTTTCAGATACTTATTCTGCCCTCCTTTCCTTCTTTTTTAATTACACAAGGCTGAAACACTATACAAGGCAGTGTTGAGGTTTCCTTTCATAAGGTTTCATGAACTGGGTAAATTTTACTTTAATTTTCTTTCTTTTTTTATTTTGATCTCTTCATTTGTCTCTTCCAACCCCACTGTCTTAGTTTTCCCTTTTTCCCAGGCCTTTAATTCCATTCTTTTCACTCCACGCTCCTCCAGGAAACCTCAGCTCACCTCTTGCTAGCCCAGGCCCTTGAGCAGCAAGATAAACTCTCTCCTTATGCTGCTTGTAGATTTCAAAAAGGCTTTCCAGAAACTGTCCCTAGCAACTCATTCATTTGTCCCAGAGAGTAAGACTCATATAATCTCACTTCCACTGTAAGCAGAAGCAGATCTACTACACTTTGATAAAAGCAGGATCCTCAGCTGAGGACAGACAGCTGTGGTCCTCTTCCCAGACCCTAGCCAGCACAGCAGGGAACAATA